CCCACAACGGGGAAAATTCCTCCTTGTCACAGCAGCAATTCATACGTTAATACTATATATATATACTATATATATATATATATGTATTTGTATATGTGTTGTGTGTGGTAGAATGGTTAAATGGACCTGTACTTTTTATAGCGCCTTTCTAGTCAAATTCCGACCACTCAAACAACTTTTTACACCCTAACATGACACAATTTGTCCTTTTCACACAACATCTCATTTAGTGATGTAAAAGCCCATCTAAACAGAAAAACTAACGCATTAATAAACAGCATTTTCACACACCAATCCACAGCATCCAGGCACAATTCGGGTTTCAGTATCCTTGCTCCAAGCATAATTCGACCACCGTTGGCTGGAGGTTCACTGTGGACTGCCACAGTCAATAGTTTAAATGTCCATTATAATATACCTTATATCTATATATATTATATTATATATATCACTTACTATATCACTATTATACTACATATACTACTACTATTACTTACTATTAAATACTGGTCTAGCACGACACAAGCTCAGATTAAGTGCATTCACTGCAAAACATAAGGTCATACAAATCGCGTACTGCGCCATTAAGCTTGGTAGTTTACACAATCAATTCTCCATTGTAGAACTTTACTAAACAAACAATTAGCAAACTTTGTTTCCATTTGCCAAAAACTTTAAAAAGATCTCCCCACCACAGCCGACATACTGCGTCCTCGCCGCATCGACTACTGCAACTCTCTCCTCTTCCGGTCTACCCACAAATACCTCCATAAACTTCAACTGCGTTCAGAACCTCTCGAGCTCGAATCAATCTCCACGAACCCCCTCCATCCACCACATCAACCCCTGTTTCTGCCTCCCACTGGCTCCCGTCAAACTCCGCATTGACTTACAAAATCCTCCTGTTATCGTTCAAGGAACATCCAACAACGTTTTCCCCCTCCTTTATTCTTTCCGAACTCCTCCACATTGTCCACCCTTCCCCGTTCCCTCAGATCTGCCTCCTCTCCTCCATCTTCTCTCGTCCATCCCGCCCGTCCTCGTCACCATGGGGAGCAGGGCTTTCAGCTGCTCTTGCCCCCCGACTCTGGAACTCCACTTCTCCTCACCTCGTATCCTCAGGAACCTCGGACTCTTTTCTCTCAACACTCTTCAAATCAAGACTTAAAAACTCAACTTTTCATGAATTGCATCTTTTATTTTTCCTCACTTATACTAATTCTTTATCTTTATTTGTCTTTCTTCTTACCATCTGTTTCTTGTTTTTCTTCACTGTCTTTTCTCTATTGTTAATGCTGTCTGCTTCGTGTCCCTCGATTGTCCCACGTAGTAGGCGTCTTACATAAAATTTATCTACTCTTTATTACTTTCCTATTCTATTTATTATTGGTCCCTCTTCTATGCTTACAGATGCTGTCAACCATCATCTTTAGATTTGTGTCAATGCATTTTGCCCCACTGACCACTAGTATATGTATGGACCAGATCGCTTCCAGGTCTGTTGAAGGGAAGCCCTATCAGGAATCATCGTCTTATACACCTGCTCATCTTCTAGTGTAATTAAATCTCTTATTGTCATTTTTATAGGTTCTCACCACCTCCGATTTAGCCTAGTTAACTAACACCAATGCTTATCGTCCTTTAATATTGGAAACAAATTGCAATTGTTTTGTTTTTAGCTTTTAGACTGACTGATAAACGATAACTCGATATCATTGTGCATCCACAAACATGCGATGACAAAAGTGAAAACCAGCGAAGAAATGGCTAGAGTTGCCAAGTTCCCCTTTAAGTGCAAACAGTGGACAACAGGACAGGAAGGGGACTACAGAGCTCAGCACAGCTGTAATAAAGCTTTGCAAATATTTTCATCAAAACTTTAATTTGTAATGTCTTGAGTTTCAGGTTGTCAGTATCCCTGCAGTCAATGTGTCCTCCAAGAGAGTTGAGATTTAAAGACTAATAATTTTTAACGTTATTTTACCTTCATGTCAACAGAACAATGCTTTTCACGAACCTTGTCACTGGAAAGGTGCACTGTATAAAATTATGTTTTAAATCAGCTGCAAATGGTTTTGGATTTGCACCAATTTTTTTTAATATAACTAAAAACCTACATTCTATGGGGTGCCCAGGTAGCTCATTTGGTAGAGCTAGCGCCCCATGGACCAAGGTTGAGTGGCTGCTGCAGCGGCCATGGGTTCGAGTCCAACCTGTGGCCCTTTACTACATGTCCTTCCCATGTTAGACGTATACATTTACTCAAGAAAAAGTATACATATTTATATAAAAAAAAAAAGAAAGACTGGTAAAAGTCAAAGCACTGATTGAACTTGTATACTCAAGTAAAAGTGAAAACGTACAGGCTCTGAAATTAACTTAAAGTATAAAGTTCTCTCTTGATTTCTCTGGAGGACATTTCTACAAGCTGTTTCTGTGCAAACTAAAACTTCAAACAGGGTCAAGTCTCCTTCGTTTGTCTGTTAGGACTTGTTACATCATTACAAAATGTTTATCATGTTGCATCTGTCATGTGTGATATGCAACAGTTTTAATATTGGGAAGGCGTGTAATGATGAAAAATTAAATAAAAAGCATTTTTAAAATCAAAATAAATAAAACTAGTCCATGCCTCTATGATCATACCAACAGTATTGCACCTAAAATATGATATATTGGTTATAAAAGCATCCTAAAATCAAACAGATTCCTTTTACTAAAACTGCAATTTGAAAAATCTGCTTTTAAAATGACACAATAGTGAAGAGGAAACTACCACCTCTTATTGACAGAAAATACACCTGCTCAAGGTTGCAGTAGCGGTCATGGACAAACATCTAAGACACTGAAGTTGACTGCTTTTCTTTTATTAACTGTGAGTTGGTGTAAAGGTACATACTGGTACTGAAAAAGCGGCAATGTAAACATTTATTTGGAAAATAACGAAATCCATTCAGTTACATGCTGATTTCATTTCATTTCAGGAGGAGCAACATTTGACCACACGAGGGTGCTCTGTGCTTACTGATCTGCTCTTTTCCAGGTCTGTGCCTGGCATACCTTTGACCTTATTAAACCACTGGGTAACAGGCAAACAATGCAAACAATAAAGAGCCATATACGTATGTACAGTACATTCTGTGTCTCACTGGGTGTCAGGTTCAGCTGCAGTGCCTTGAATCATGTCCCTGATTCTTTGCACGTCTGCCTGCAGCGCTTTATTGGAAGGGACAATTTTTAGAGCAGCTTGGTAGTCTTGGAGCCCTGAGAAAACACATCACAGGTACATCAGCTGACATCACACAGGTGGACATGGTCACCAGCTAATCAGTCATCACCCTCAAAAACATGCTAGTTATGTATTGTTACTCCACCATTATGTCTTTAAACACAGAGAAAAGTGTTGATGTGAATGCTTTATCACTGTAAGTGTATAATTAAAAGCCAAATGTAGTAACATTGTCCAAATGAAAAAGACTAACTGTTCGAACCTTCTGCATAGAGCTGTAGCTGGCAGAAAGCAGATCCTCGGCGGACGTGGGCTCGGATTCTGGCAGCTGCATTGGCAGCGACTGGTGGAGTCAGCAGATCAAGCGCCTGCAGAGAAACATGATGTTTATTCCTGCTGTAAAAGTCCAATGTGTAGGATTTACTGGTATCTAGCAGTGTGGTTGCAGACTGCAACTCCCTTGCTTCACCCTCCCCTTCCAAGCAATAAGGAGAAACTACGGTGGCCACGAAATATGTGGATTGTCCCTTCTGGGCTACTGTAGAAACATGGCGTATTACATGGGAGGTGACACTTCTGTAGATAAAAACAGCTCATTCTAAGGTAACAAAAAAACAACAGTTCTTATTTTCAGGTGATTAGACGCTAATACCTTAAAACATACAAACTAACTAACTAACAAACTATGGAGGAACCTGATTGTTTCACAGTTTATCTGTCTCATGTACTACTGTCGGGATACAGTGAAGATTTCAGCAAACATGATAAAAACAGCAGACCTCTGTTGCCTCTCTTCTTGAACAGAATAAATAAGTTATTATAAACCAAGTTAGACACCAACATGCACAGTACTGACCTGAGAGGAATCCTCAATGGCCTTGTGAAGATTTCTTAACTTCAGATGACATGCAGCCCTGTTTGAATACAGAGCTGGGATCTTTCTGTTGAGCCTGATGGCCAGGTTGTAGGCGTTCACTGCACCCAGGTAGTCCCCGGCCGCAAAGCATTTACTGAAAGAAAGAGTCGCTTTAGAGATTAAATGGTTCAGAAAATAGAAGTACTGTAAAATAGTTTGGACCTCACTTACTCTCCTTTGTCCTTCAGCCAGTCAGGGTTCCGCTCCTCCTCCTTCAGGTCCTTCAGCTCTTCTACATCTGCATTTACTGCACGCCTGGCTTCAGCTTGTTTCTTCAGCCACTAGTGGTTTATAATATGAAAAGAGCATTTTAGCATCATTTTAGCTTATGAACCTTCTTAGTGCTAATTCCATCCACAAAGCGTATGATGGCTAATAGTGATGTGCCATTTGTGAACAAGGCACAAGGCTCCTTTAAGTCAACCACAGGGACTGGTTCCCTACTTTTTTACATAAATGAATACAAGACAGCGTAATAGTATGATCCTATAACATATTTGTTAAATACAATTCAGAAACATTTCACTTACTGATAACATTAAAACACAAGCATGGTGAGATACAAAACATAGTTCGATATAAAAATAAAACCTTTAAACAACATTTCTTACATTCTTTAAAGCTGCAGTAGGTAACTTTAATAGTAATTCCTATCACTAAAGGACTCTCACCTCTGCCTCCTCTGGCACTCTGGATTCCCTGAGGGCCGTTGGGAAAACTCGCGGGGTGAATGAGACCTGAATATTTCCAACAAGTCTCGGAGCAGGCAGGTCCACTTGTTTTATCTTGCTCTTCGCGTCCCTGTTGCCTCTTTGATCTAAATGCAAGGATATTTAACGAACAGTGTTGGGCAGTAAGGCATTACTAGTAATAATAATATCACAGTAAAAATATTACTTTCTCCAGTTACTAGAGTGTAACTAATTACTAAAACATTTTAGTAATAATATTACCGTATTAAAGCTGCAGTAGGTAACTTTTATAAAAAAAATAACTTTTTGTCATATTCACTGAAACTTTCACTATATCCCGACAGTAGTACATGAGACAGATAATGTGTGAAACAATCAGATTCCTCTGGCTCCTCATAGTGCTCCTAATGGTGCTTACAAGAATCCACCAGGCCTGAACAAAACAACCAATCAGAGCTGACAAAGATAGAAAGATGGTTTGGGAGGATAGTTGATTCAACGATCAACTGTCAAGCCTCCAACCCAAAGAAATGGTATATTTATTGCTACTAAAATATGGCAAGATGACGCCAGTGTGTGAGGCGGGCCGCC